TCGTTATTGTTTCGTTATTATTTCCGCATGTCTGGTGCAAGTTTTAGGGTTGCTGTTTGTTTTCTCAGTGAAAAAAAATATAATTATCACACCAACAGTCAACAACAGAGGGAGAGGGAAGCTTCAGAAGTTTTTTTAGCGTATTGCGTGATCGCGGCCGCCATTAACGAATCGATTCGTAATTGTTTCGTAATTGTTTTATGATTTCCGAAATTTCGTAAATATCGAACTTTTTTTAAGGAAAATTTCGGAATTCTTTTAAATAACGAAACGCAAAAAACCCTAAAAACGAATTGAGTTTAGAAACAATTTTTTCCGTGTTTGGACAGCCCTACTGTTTGCTGTTTCATTTTGGCTTGTTTTACCTTTGGACTTCATTCTATTTTATATTCACCATTCAATAAAAAGGATTACATTTTTTCCAAACCAAGGTGTGGTGTATTAATGACAAGAGGGCCCTGTTTCCTGAGCTGGAGTGCAACATGTTTGTCTGTTTGTTTCATGTTTTCTTTACATTTTACAGGTTGAATTTTGCATGAGGTAGGGTTTTTTCTTTAGTTTTCCTTTTTGCTATTAGTACTGTAAGGTCTGAGTCACAATCTGCTCCTGGTCTTCTTTTGGCAGAGATCGTGGAGCTTTTCCTATCCGAACGTATCTCTGCCTATGAACCCACCAGGACTTTGAGATCATCCGGGGAGGCCCTGCTCTCGATCCCGCCTGCATCACAGGCACGGCTGGCGGGGACGAGGGACAGGGCCTTCTCTGTGGTGGCCCCTAGGCTGTGGAACGCCCTTCCCATGGACATTAGATCAGCCCCTTCGCTAATGGTGTTTCGAAGAAAACTAAAAACCTGGCTGTTTGAACAGGCGTTCGGATAAATAGTGCAATGAACATGATGAATATAGGAAACGGAATTATGGATGACGAATTGGATCACGATTTTAGTTATGAGAAGTTAATGTGTTGTTATTGAGATGTCATTAGTTTGTATTTTATACTGTTAATGGTTTTAATATTGTATGTTGTTGGATTGACTTTTGCTCTTGTTGTGAACCGTGTTGAGTCGCCTACGGGCTGAGAAACTGCGGTATACAAGCAAAGTAAATAAATTTTCCATCTTTTGTTTCAGCTTGTGTTATCTATCTGATGTCTATCAGGTGATGTCCACGTATACAGTCGCTTCTTGAACTGCATCCTTACCAAGCTACAACTCCAAGGATTCCATAGCAGTTAAAGTGGGGCCAAACTAACATTAGATACACTGCTTGATGAATGTCTTTGTAATGAACCAACCGTTGGCCTTGCAAAACTCAGTGAGTCGCTCTCCTTGCCCTTACCTGATCTACTCCAATTCTGCTCTGCCAGGAAAGAAGGCACATTCTCAAGAAACATCACCCTCAAAGATCCCCAAAGAAGGAGATTCCCACCAACTTACTAGGCAGCTCACTCTGCTGGCAAACAATTCTTATAATAAGTACATGCAATATTGGAATCTTGAAGATGGAAGAGACCCCAAGGGCCACCCAGTCCAGTCCCCTTCTGCCAGAAGGAAGGGACAACAGACTCCAGAGCCCTGCTCCACTTTTGTGGATCAGACCCACCTGCAAAGCTTGGCCACCAGAGAGCAGGCCGCCTCACTGACGAAGGCGGGGAAGGAGAAGACGCCATCCATGATCTTGCTGTAGATCTTTTGAGGCTCCGCACTGTGGAAGGGGGGCCTGTGGGGAGGAGAGAGAGGAAGTGGGGAGATCAGGGCCTCCTCCCTTTCTATATCCATTCAGCAGAGGCTGGGAGGAGCATAGAATCCTAGAGTTGGAAGGGACCCCTAAAGTCCATCCAGTCCAACCCCATTCTTCCATGCAGGAATATAACATCCAAGCTCAGCTGCTTGCAAGAAAGTTACTCATCCATAAGACCTGAGGAGTGATCAATTAAGTCTCACTAACTTCACCCATATATTTCTGCTTTATTATATGCCTAAAAGGTGTGTAATGGGGAAGCTGGGTGTAGTGAACTCATACCTTTTCTTCATAGGCCGCAGCCTGGAAGTCAGTGAGCTGGCCTCCATGTTGGGAAGGCAGCTCAGAATGGCAGACATGATGATATAGGCAGAGAGGCAAGGGGAGGAGTCAGCTAACTCCTGATTGGTTCAGACCCCAAGGGGAGGAGTTGAAGGAGAGTGTAAATAGGCTGTCATTTCTGACAGAAGGAGAGAGAAGGATTTGATCTAGCAGAGAAAGATTAGGATTTCAGACAGGGAGAAGAGAGTTTCTTAGTGAGCTAGGAATTAGCCTGTTAGGGAAGAATTAAAGAGCAAGTGCTTCTGTATAGTTTGACTAGGGCAGTCAAAGTGAAGGCTTGTTTACTTGTATTAGGACAGAATACAAGTGGGTTTGTTTCCCTATAGGTCAGAGTAGTCCAGGGGAAACCTAGATACTCTGGAAGGCAGCCAGGGGCGGCTGGTCAAAGAAACACACTGATACATATTACAGGATAGTGTGAGGAAAGTAGCTCATGTTAAGAAAAACTTCTAAAGAACCTATTTGCTTAATAAGTCTGTGCTTCAGAAACAAATTACGCGTATGTACCTCTCTACTGAGTTGCTGTCAGTTGTTTGCTTCAAATACTTCAATAAACCTGTTCTCTAGTTTACTGTTAATCTGCCTCAGCCTTGTTTCATCATATAAGGTTAGATCCAGTAAGCCTCCACATCTCTACAGTTCAGTCACCAGAAAGGGAGCCAAAAGGAAGAGCCGGTGTATAGGGACATTTTACCTCAAGTACAACAACAAGACAATTCCTCAAACTGTAATTTGGGGTGGTGGCAGCAAACCTACCATTACTCACACACCGTTCTCTCTCATCACCTGTAATTTCCTCTTATATTCTGTTACATTGGTGGCAGCGGTGGGATTGAAAATAAAGGTTCCCCCCTGTCACTTGTAATATAAGACCCTTATATTTTGGTATACAGGGCATTGACTCGCTGGTCCATCAGCCTGGTAGAAAATGAGAACTGAAGGGACTTGAAGAAGGCCTCTGTGCTTGCATGGCTGGAAAGCCTTCTCAGCTAGGATGGGATGGCCCTCTCCCCACTTTGCCTGAGATACAAATCATACCTCCTAGATAAAACAAGGAAGTAATATATTAAGCCCACAAACTCACTGATAAAATCTCTGGGAACTAATTGGGACTGAGGTACCAGAGATTTATTATTGGCTGTCCAGTGAAAAGCGAAACTGGATCTGGGTAATTTCAGTAAGAGGTCTAGTTCATTGAGGGGGATGCTGGTGGAAGGCAAATGGAGGGACACAAACTGACATTGCTTTTTGCTTTTATTGTGCCATCCTGCCAGGCACAATCTTGAAGGGACTACTTGGGCCTGGAGTGGAAAACCACCAGCCTGGACTAGGGTTGTTTGCAGTGTAAAATTACCAGCCAAAGCAGAGTTCAGACAAGGGGAAAGCTCAAAAGGGAAATGCCTAGTAACAAGCAGGACGGAGGATGCAGGACGAGGGAATCAGCATCTAAGGAAAAGCAGGCACAGGAATACTTATAAGAGTTGCCACCAGAAAGGAACAAAAAGAGCAGGTAGAGATGAGGCACGAATTGGAGAAAATAGTTCAAGGTGTTGACTATAAAGCTGAGCTAAGTCTGTTTGTGTGTGGCACTTTTCGTGTTCACCCGGCAGGGTGATGGGATCAAATAAACCTATTGAACAATCTCCTTGCCTTGGCAATTTTCTTGTTCACCTGGCAGGGTGATGAGATCAAATAAACCTATTGGACAATCTCCTTGCCTTTAGTGTTTGATTGGATAAAAGAACCCTGGGGGTTTTGGGGGGCATTTCAAAACAGAAAGACATGGAAATGCATCCTAACAGTCTTGTGATCAATAGGCCTTCTGTTGGGTGCCCTAGTCATTTGGAGAGATCTTCAAAAGTGGGAATTGCAAGGCCCTGGGATCTCTAAAACTCACTGGAGGGGATGGAACTAAGCCCCAAACAAGGGAGGGGGGGTGAGGGGGGGTATATATCCCTGACCCTCTCTTCCACAACTCTACTGAGCCAGTCAGAAGCCATAGGGCTTAGAGGTCTCTCTTCAGTAGGGCAACCATGGGGGACCCCCTCTATGCTCCCCCAGCTACCAATGAGGGAGAGGGGAGAGCCTCACCTTCCCACCAGCATCTCAAAGATGAGCACCCCCAGGGTCCAGAAGTCCACAGAGAAGTCGTGGCCCTCATGGCGCAGGATCTCAGGGGCCAGGTACTCCGGGGTCCCACAGAAGGAGTAGGTCTTCTCCCCCCGCTTCAGAGCCTTGGCAAAGCCAAAGTCCACCTGCAAAGGCCAGAGAAGCAAGATGTGGATGTGGGGAGAGTTATCAAGGGGGGAGAGAAAGGACAGCACACGCATGCCTGGCCTCACTCCACACAGCCCTAGCATTTGTCTCACCTTTGTGTTAATCATACTGGATGGCACAGCCACCAACTTAGGTGGACTTTAAGGGGAGATTGGCTAAACCCAGAGAGCTAGATGGAGAAGATGGGGATCCATTCTGAATAGCCTCATGGCCACGGAAGAGCAACGTCTACAGATACCTGGACCTCAGGTGTGCAGCTACTTGTAGCCCTAAACACAGAGGTAACATTCCCTTCGCCAAGCTGGCGCACACCTGATGTCCAGATGCATACAACAACACTGTGTAACAAAATTTGGGGAAAAAAATCTATTCCTGGTTTGAAAGTGTTATTACTGTTTAATTGTGCAGTCCAGACTTTGAAAGTAGTCGTTCTCCTCCAGAAACTTTGTTTTTATGTCTGCCACAAACTAGGTTGAATGGGTTGAGATCCTCAAAAACGAAGTTTTTGTGTGTCTAAAGGCCCTTCCCTGAAGCAGTAGCACAGCCCCACATTTCTTAGTGGCTCGAAAGGTGTCAATTCCTAACCTAACCTCTCAGACCATACTCTTTCTGACCAATGGCCAGCGGCAGCCTCACATCTGCCCCACAAAATCAGCTGCGTACCTCAGATGTAGGTGCCTCTAATCTTAGTTTACAGGACCAGGTTGCGGCACAGCTGGTTGGGAGTCAGCTGCATTAAAATCACTACTGACCAAAAGGTCATAATTTTGATGCCAGCCCGGGTCGGAGTAAGCTCTCGAACATTTGTCTAGCTTGCTGTCGACCTTTGCAGCCTGAAAGACAGTTGCATCTGTCAAGTAGGAAATTAAGGTACCGCTTATGCAGGGAGGCTAATTTAACTAATTTACGACGCCATAATAATCTCCAGCAGCGTGCAAAAGAATGAGGAAGTACTCCATCGGTGTCACAAGTGGACGGTGAAGCAACAGCTCCCCCGGTGGCCGGAATTCGAGCATACCCTCACGAAGCTGGAAAGTTAAATTGCGTCTGTGTGTCTGTCTATTGTACCACTTATGCAGGGAGGCTAATTTAACTAATTTACGATGCCATAAAACTCTCCAGCAGCAAGCAAAAGAATGAGGAAGTACTCCATCAGTGTTAGAATTCGAGAATACCCTCACGAAGCTGGAAAGTTAAATTGCCTCTGTGTGTCTGTCTATAGTACCACTTATGCAGGGAGGCTAATTTAACTAATTTACGACGCCATAAAACTCTCCAGCAGCGAGCAAAAGAATGAGGAAGTACTCCATCAGTGTTAGAATTCGAGCATACCCTCACGAAGCTGGAAAGTTAAATTGCGTCTGTGTGTCTGTCTATAGTACCACTTATGCAGGGAGGCTAATTTAACTAATTTACGACGCCATAAAACTCTCCAGCAGCGAGCAAAAGAATGAGGAAGTACTCCATCAGTGTTAGAATTCGAGAATACCCTCACGAAGCTGGAAAGTTAAATTGCCTCTGTGTGTCTGTCTATAGTACCACTTATGCAGGGAGGCTAATTTAACTAATTTACGACGCCATAAAACTCTCCAGCAGTGAGCAAAAGAATGAGGAAGTACTCCATCGGTGTTACAAGTGGCGGTGAAGCAATAGCTCCCCCGGTGGCTGGAATTTAAGCATACCCTCATGAAGCTGGAAAGTTAAATTGCCTCTGTGTGTCTGTCTATAGTACCACTTATGCAGGGAGGCTAATTTAACTAATTTACAACGCCATAAAACTCTCCAGCAGCGAGCAAAAGAATGAGGAAGTACTCCATCGGTGTCACAAGTGGACGGTGAAGCAACAGCTCCCCTGGTGGCTGAAATTCGAGCATACCCTCACGAAGCTGGTAAGTTAAATAGCCTCTGTGTGTCTGTCTATATATGTTGTGTGTCTATGGCATTGAATGTTTGCTATGTATATGTACATTGTGATCCACCCTGAGTCCCTTGTGGGGTGAGAAGGTGGAATATAAATACTGTAAACAAACAAACAAACAAACAAATAATATTTCTGGTTGCCCTCCTGCTGGAACCGGAGCAATGACCCCTTTACTTGAGCCAATATCTGGACTGTATGGTCCCATCGACACTGATTTTGGCCAAGACATTTAGCCCAAAATGGTGAGCGAGCATTAGATTGGAGTGAACAAGGGTGTCCTTACCAGCTTGACGTAGCCCTTGTCGTCCAGCATGAGGTTCTCCGGCTTCAGGTCCCGGTAGACGATGCCTTGGGAGTGGAGGTAGTCCAGGGCTTCGACCACACAAGCCGAGCAGAAGACGGCCACCGGCTCAGAGAAGCAGCGGCTGTCGGGGAAGAAGAAGAAGAAATGGACAACTCGCATGGCCAAGCATGGCTTGCAGGCAATAGTCCACAATGACTCCCCACTTGTTCTTTGCCTCTTTGTAGAATGTGCCTGGTGTTGGAAGGGACCCCAAGAGGCCATCTAGACCCACCCTCATTTCTCATCATGCTCTTTAAAGAGCCCCAAATAGGGACAGCTCACTATTAGGCTTGTTTGTCTGCCTGTAGGCTATTTCTTTTGCCTCCGCTCATCTGTTGTGTACCTGGGAAGGAATCCCACTGGAGCATTGCAGTGCACCCAAATACCTGGGAGTCACTCTGGACCGTGCTCTGACCTACAAGAACCACTGCTTGAATATCAAGCAAAAAGTGGGTGCTAGAAACAATATGATACGAAAGCTGACTGGCACAACCTGGGGATCACAACCAGACACAGTGAAGACATCTGCCCTTGCGCTGTGCTACTCTGCTGCTGAGTATGCATGCCCAGTGTGGAACACATATCACCACACTAAAACAGTGGATGTGGCTCTTAATGAGACATGCCGCATTATCACGGGGTGTCTGCGCCCTACACCACTGGAGAAACTACACTGTAGCCGGTATTGCACCACCTGACATCTGCTGGGAAGTAGCAGCCAATAGTGAAAGGACCAAGGCAGAGACATCTCCAGCTCATCCCTGTTTGGGTATCAGCCAGCACGTCAAAGACTTAAATCAAGAAATAGTTTTCTAAGATCTACAGAGACACTCGCTGGAACACCTCAGCAAGCGAGAGTCCAAAAGTGGCAGGCTCAAGCCCAGAGCCTCAATCGCTGACACCAAATGAGAGACTCCCCCCTGGGCACACAGAAAACGGGGCGACTTGGAAGGCGCTGAACAGACTGCGCTCTGGCACCACGAGATTCAGAGTCAACCTTAGGAAATGGGGCCACAAAGTGGAATCCACGACATGCGAGTGTGGAGAAGAGCAAACCACTGACCACCTGCTGCAATGCAACCTGAGCCCTGCCACATGCACAATGGAGGACCTTCTTGCGGCAACACCAGAGGGACTCCAAGTGGCCAGATACTGGTCAAAGGACATTTAATCAACTACCAAGCTTGCAAACTTTGTGTTTTGTCTGTTTGTTTTGGTAAAAATGTAATACAACTGTCTGGTTGCTCCTGACACAATAAATAAATAATCTGAAAGACTGGTTTAGTAGAAAGCAAATTAAACACAGAGCTACACTTTCAATTGAATTAGCTTGTCTCTGGCCAAACTTCCCAGCCCTTCCATATATTGAGCATTTACATATCTAACTGGATCTCAATATAATTCGACATTTAGCCATTAATCCAAGGAGTTTCCTGACCCAGCAGCCCCCCAACTCCAAGGTCCATCGTCCACCCCAAGGCCCCAATCCGTACGCTTCACGCAGCTTCGCCCACAGCTCCCCTCCCTGGCAGAACTCCAGCAGCAGGTAGACGTGGCGACTGTCCCGGAAGGTGGCAAAGAGCCTGCAAGAAGGAGAAGGAGAAGGAGAGTGAAGAGGACCCCCCAAAAGAACCCCAGCCAACATTTTGCAGCCCTGCTTTCCAAGCTCTGGCCCTTCTCCTCTGTGACCACCTTATGCCCCCATTGGCTTAGCTATTCTCCCTTGAGCCCACCTCCCAAGCTGGTTCCTGCAGCAATGAGATGCTTTTGGTTCTTTATTCCAGTTTTGCAAACTTTCATCACACAAGTCAGATGTTCCCACCACAACATCTTTAAACTTACTCGCCCAACGTGTTGAGACTCAGCGTCTGCCTGATGCACCTACTACCAGTAGTAGGAGAAAACGTGGCTTAGAGAATGATGAGGATCAGCAACAGCTGAAAAGGATCAGGGATTTGTTTTTGGAGACTACTGATGAAGAGGATTTTATGGGCTTTACTCAAGAGGAGATGGAGCTAGAGAGTTACAGGGGTGTAAAAAGAGTAGCCAGCAGCTCTAATAGCGATGTGGGGTCTGTTGCCAAACGTCCGAAAGACATAGCTGATTGTACAGACTTTGACAGCGAAGACGAAGAGCTAGACTGGGCTAAAGTTCAAGAAGTGATGGATGTTTTTAACGCCCCTACATCTAGCGATGAATTCCAGGGTTTTAATGATGTTAACTTGCAGGATGAGACCCGAAATGCTGAATGGCTGCAGTGGCGTGGCATTGATTCACCTGAAGAATTGGATCCAGCTGGAAGTAACTCCAGCGATTCAGATGGAATTTAAGGAGCAGTTTGAGAGCCATCTAATCGCAGAGTTCAAAGTGTCGCATGCTGTGTGCTTTGTGTTTACTCTTGCCGTGAGCTTTGTTTACAGCTTCGTGTTCCTGCCTGTGGAATCATCCCTGTCGGATCCTGCCTTGTATGTATGCCTTGTTCTGACTCCTGGACCGTCTGACTACGCCTCTGCCTTGCCCCTGGATCTTCGTTGGACCGCTCTCCATACGGAGTGTCGTTTGCTGAGTTATAGCTGTTGTTTTGGACTACATTTGAATGCTGAAGCCAAACTGACTGTCTGTGTTTAAGACTGCCTTTTCCTTGTGCTGACTGAAGCTATTTTGTTTACGTTCTGCTGACTGCAAGCTCCTTAATTTATGACTCTGAAGTTAAGAGGTCTTTTGTTTTGTTAAAGAGACATTAAACAACCTCAATTAGCTCCTGCTTAGCTGCTTTGTTCTACCGCCGGACCTGAGTCTTGACAGATTGAACTCTGCCAGAAACAAACTCAGCAGGAGTCATGGCATCTCTTGGGGAGCTGGCAGCCCAAATAGCTTTGTTACAAACGCAGTTTGATGAACTCCGTGGGGGAGGACTGGCTGGCGGGCCGCGCACGGCTCGTGCTATCGTCCCTGAGCGCTTTATCGGAGATAAAGATGGTTTGCCACTGTTTTTGATGCAGACCGAAGTTTATTTTAAGCAAGTGCCTGCAACTGCTTATGCTACAGATGAAAGCAAAGTGGCTTTTGTGATCAGTTTGCTGTCTGGCCGAGCGGGTAAGTGGGCAGTAAATCTGGTTAATAGCAATAGCCCCTTACTGCGCAATTATGCTGGCTTTTTGGACGCTCTTAAGGAGATGTTTGGAGACCCTCTCCAGGAAGAGAATGCCAGCCGTGAGTTACATGCTATCCGGCAAGGGAAAGAATGTGTGTTGGACTATTTGAATCGTTTCAACCATCTGAAACAGCACTTGGACTGGGGCGAGAAAGCTTTTATGACTTGCTTCACAGCAGGGCTTGCTCCAGCTTTAAAAATCGAATTGGCACGCTTTGAACCTCCTGACACCTGGGAGGCTTTGACTAAAACGGCTCTTCGACTGGAGAGGAGACAGAACATGCTGAGGAAGGAGGGCTATTTCCAGCCGCAGTTCCAGTCTACCCCCTCCCCTCAAGTCACCGCCGCTGCTGTCTGTTCCAGTCTGGATTCCGAGGAGCCCATGCAGCTGGGGAGTCAACGCCGGTTATCCAGGGAGGAGAAGCAGAGACGGCGTCAGCTCAATTTATGTTTGTATTGCGGAGCGGGGGGCCATTTCGCCCGCAGTTGTCCGGCCAAGGCTCCCAGGGAGCAGGGAAAAGGCCAGCCCTAATGTGCACTGGGGCAAGCACATTAGGGCCAGCGGTTCAGTGGCCCCGGTGTAAAGACCATGTGTTTTTACCCATTGAACTCTGTTCTAACCAAGGCAATAGGTTCTCCACTTGGGCCCTAGTGGACTCTGGGGCAACCGGGTCTTATATGGACACAAGCTTCGCTATGGACCATCATATTGTGTTACAAAGGAAGCGCCAGCCAGAGTGGGTGGAAGGAGCAGATGGTGCTCTAGTGGGCCACCGGTCTGTTACTATGGAGACTGGGCCCCTGAGGTGGGAGGCTCAAGGTATAGAGGGTCGGTTTTCCTGGGATGTGATTAACTTGCCTAGGTATACCATCATCCTAGGCATGGACTGGCTGTCCAAGATTAATCCCAGAATAGACTGGCAAGCCAAGACCATTACCTTAGCACCACCTGTATGTGGAACGTTGGCAGTAAGTCCAACGGATGTGGAAGGTGTTCCTGAATGCTATAAAGACTTTTATGATGTGTTTAGCAAGGTACAGGCTGACAATCTTCCACCCCATAGGCCTTATGACTGCCAGATAAAGTTGATGGAGGACGCCAAGTTGCCTGCGGGCAGGCTTTACGCTTTGTCTCTTCCAGAACGCCAGGCCTTGAAGGACTACATTGAGGAGAATCTGGCCAAAGGGTTCATCCGTCCGTCCAGTTCTCCCACGGCGGCTCCAGTGTTCTTCGTGTCCAAGAAGACGGGTGATTTACGTTTAGTTTGTGATTATCGTATTTTGAATAAGTTTACCATCCGGGACCGTTATCCGTTGCCTTTGATTCCTGAGTTATTGTCTCGTGTTCAGGGCGCATCTGTTTTTTCGAAGTTGGATTTAAGGGGCGCCTATAATTTGCTCCGGATTAAGGAAGGCTACGAGTGGAAGACCGCCTTCAACACTTATCTCGGGGCTTACGAATATTTAATCATGCCTTTCGGATTATGTAATTCGCCAGCTGTGTTTCAACGCTTAATGAACGATGTGTTTAGAGATTTATTAGATAAATTCATGGTTTGTTATCTCGATGACATCTTGATCTACTCAAAGGACCTTCGGCAGCATCGAGAACATGTGAGGACGGTGCTGCAGAGGCTTCGGAAACACGGTCTGTTCGCCAAGGCTTCTAAGTGTGTTTTTCATGTCCCGGAGGTGGAGTTTCTGGGACACATAGTCTCTGGGCGGGAGGTGAAAATGGACCCGCATAAGGTGGACGCTGTCCAGTCCTGGAAGGAACTCGCCTCAAAGAAAGATGTGCAACGTTTCCTAGGTTTTGCTAATTATTATCGAGACTTTATTCCCCATTATGCAGAAATCACCGTGCCGCTGACTCGCCTCCTGAAAAAGGACCACCCATTCGTATGGACTAAGGAGGCTCAGAGAGCATTCGAGACCATCAAATGCAGTTTCGCTGATGGGAGAGTCCTGTGTCAACCAGATGTGGACCGTCCTTTTGTGGTTGAAGCTGATGCCTCCAACTACGTGTTGGGAGCTGTCCTGTCCCAGTTAGACTCCAAGGGTATCCTTCGGCCTTGTGGCTTTTACTCTCGCCAATTGTCTCCCTGTGAACAGAACTATACAATTTGGGAGAAGGAGTTACTGGCGATTAAGGTTGCCTTCGAGGTTTGGAGGCACTGGCTCGAAGGTGCCAGGCACCAGGTGGTGGTGCGGTCTGATCACCGTAACCTAGAACATTTGCTAACCGCTCGCAAATTGAACCAGCGCCAAATTCGTTGGGCTATTTTTTTTAGTCGTTTTGATTTTCGTGTTGAGTTCATTGAGGGGAAAATGAACTTGAGGGCGGATGCTTTGTCTCGGAAATCTGAATATAAGACTGATGTGGCACCCGTCCTGCAGACTGTGTTACCTACAGCGGCTCTCAATTTAATGGAGGGTGCGGGTGATCTTTGTGACCAGGTCAAAGCAGCGCAAGCTGAGGACATTTGGACTCAAGAACAGCTCACCTTGTTAGCAAATGGCCAGAAGTCTGTACTCCCTAATCTTCGCAATGAGGGTGGGATTTTGTTGCGCAGAGAGCAGCTCTACGTTCCTGCAGGTAGTTTACGCCTTGAGATTCTTAGATCCCACCATGATGAACCGGCTGCAGGTCATTTTGGGAGGTTTAAGACCGTGCAACTAATCACTAGAAATTTTTGGTGGCCAAAAATGAGGCAGGACATTTTACAGTACTGTGACAGTTGTGCCGTCTGCCAGCAATGTAAACATGCTCCTGGAAGGCCTAGTGGCCTGTTATCCCCTTTGCCGGTGCCTGAGAGACCTTGGCAGGTCATTTCTATGGACTTCATTACTGATCTCCCCAGGGCACGGGGATACGCCTGTATTTGGGTAGTAGTGGACTTGTTTTCTAAAATGGCTCATTTTGTTCCGTGTGCGAAAGTTCGCACAGCACCTGGGTTGGCCCAGCTCTTTATGAAGCATGTGTTTAAGTTACATGGGGCTCCGGACACTATAATTTCAGATCGCGCCCCTCAGTTCGTGTCGCGATTCTGGAAGCAGTTCCAGGCCCAGATGGGCACGAAGCTCAATATCTCTTCTGCTTTTCATCCGCAGACTGATGGCCAGACGGAACGTGTGAATGGCCTTTTGGAACAGTATTTGCGTTGTTTTTGTTTACAGCAAGCTGGGGATTGGGTGCAGTGGCTTCCTGTGGCTGAATTCGCCTACAACAATGCTACCCATGCCGTCAGTCGCCATTCCCCTTTTGAGTTGGTTTATGGTATGCAGCCTAGGTGGGGGTCGGCTCCGGTGCATGACATTGTTTCCACGGACCCTGTGTACCGTTCTAACGAATTTCTTGCTTTGCATGATGTTGCCCGGCGTATTCTTGTGGAAGCTAAGGATGCTCAGAAAGCACAAGCTGATAAACATCGGCAGGCGGGTGCTGAGCTCCAGGAGGGGGATTTGGTTTGGCTCTCTTCCAAGCATCTCAAGCCGTCTGGGGGCAAGTTTGCGCCTCGTTATGTGGGACCCTACCCTATTGTCAAGCAGATTTTGCCTGTGGCTTTCCGTTTGCGTTTACCTCCTTCTTTGAAAGTGCATCCTGTGTTCCATCGCTCTATGCTCAA